TATATATATATATTCTTCTTTTTTTCTATACAAATTTGACTTATAATATAAAAATTATTTTATAAAGTTGTAAGGTACTAAAAAGTATTTTCTCTCTAAATATACGTTATTCTCTAAATATACTTATAATATTTAAAAATATTTTATAAATATTAAACTAAATTTTAGAATGAAAACTCATGATTATTTATAACATTTGAAAATGATTTTTTAAGTGGCAAGCCGTATATATGAGAGAAAATATTGAATATGATAACTAAATTTGTATTAAAGAAATATTTATTTTTACTAAAATAACGAAATAAGAATTGGTGTTAAATATTTCAAGTGACCAAAATATTTTAGTATTTATATAATTTTAATTTTATTTTTTTACATAATTTTAAATAAATAACATAATACTACATATTTTAATTACTTTTTGAAATAACAATTTTTTAAAACCATAAAAAATAACCAACCCAAACCGAATATTGGTTTGAATTTTATAATTTATTCAAACCAAATCAAACTAAACCGGATTTAATTTGTTTGTTTGGTTCAAATGATTTTTAAGGTAAAAGAATCAACCAAACTGCATTGTGAACACTTTTAGTGTGTGTTTGGATTTGCGTTTGAAGAATTGATTTATCAAAATCAATTTTCTGGACGTAGAAGCTATATTTTTCAGCTTCAACCAAAATTAATTTTCACCTTTAAAATCATGTGATGAAAAAAAACCCAAACATTCTTTCTACATGAGGAATCACGTTTTTGCACGAAAATACGCACGTTGAATCAATTTAACGCATATCCAAACAGGCACTTATTAAAATATATTTTTGAAAAGTACTTTTTAGAAATAAATAAATAAACAAATTAATTGAAGACTATTTGAAAGAAAATAAAAAAGACAGGAGGAATAATAACTTAATAGTGTGTTTGGATGGAGAATTTAAATGAAGTAATTCATTTATTTGAAGAATTTCAATTTCTTTGAGGTGAAATACCTTGTTTAGATGAAGAATTTATAAGGAATTTGAAATTCAAGCATTTGTGAAATTCCTTGAAATAGTAGAATTTCAAATTCTCCCAAAAGAGTAAGAATTTGAAATTCCTCATACTTTTATCTTCTTATTTCACTTATATATTTTATCTTATCTCTTATCTCTTCATGTTTTTAATTATTGAATATTCAAAAATATATTTAAAATTATTAAATATTATCTACTATTAATTTTTAAAATTATTAAATATTTAAAAATTAGCTAATATTTATTTTTTAAAAATTGAATTTAAAAATCTCAACATATAAATATATTTTTAAAATTAATTTTATCATAATGGAATCAAATTATCATATCCAACCTAACAATTTAAAATTTGAGAAATTTGAATTGACTTATCCAAACAAAATATTTTAAGAATGATAGAAATTGAAATTAAAGTAATTCAAATACCAAGAATTTAAAATTCCTTGAATTTGTAAAATTTCTCATCCAAATACACCATAAATGTATTTAACAAAAACCTTGAGCATATCACAATCAACTCACAAATTGGGCAGATTCTTCATTTACTCACGTAAATTGAACCTAAGGCTCGACCAGTAACAACTCTAATTTAATTTTCCGTTATTATCTCAGGATTATTATTATTATTATTATTATTTTTTTCCATTTTATATATTTCCTTTTTCTGGTTACCTCGAGCTCCATGCTCATGCGTAACGCAATGTTCCTTCTCAAGACTAGTTAATTACCAACTTCTCACTTCCGCCTTCAATTCCCTATAACGACAACTCAGGAAGATAAAAGAGGAATATGTCAATATAATAATTTCTTTGTAGTTGTGGCAAGTGCCTTGTTAGTACCGGTGGACCAAAACTTCATCAAACCACCCTATGTCTAAAAATAAAAAATAAAATAAAAACATAGGCTATGCTTTTTTTTTTTTTGATAAGCAAAAGAAATTTAAATTAAAGGGAGTACAAGGGGTACTCCAACCCATTACAAGAGACACATAGACAAAATTAGAATCTAGGCTAGAAAGAAACTATGAGAAATACAAACTCGGGTTATAATACCAACTTGTGTAACTAAAAGAACATCCAGGGACAGAACTATTAATCCACCTCCATGAACGCAATTTAATATTATCCAACACTTCCTTGCAATCTGTAGTATCTTGTTGAAAGATAATGATATTTCGATGAAGCCATAGTGACCAGATAACAGAAACCCAAACCACCCGCAAAAAGTGAGAATGTTTTTTATATATACCAAGATTCGTCCAATATAAATAAAGAGAAATTAAAAAATTTGAAAATAATTTGGCTATGCTTTTTTAATGTTGATTAGGCACGAACTTTCGAATTAATTGCAACATGGTTGCTAGCTATTAGTAATATATATACTAATAATTATAATTAATATTTAATATACTAATAATTATAATTAATATTTAATAATTTTATTCCACTGATCAACGTCGGCTACGCCTTTAATGCCACACCTCTTATTTTATTCAAAAGGGTAAGTTCGAAAGAACTTGTATGGCTCCACATCATAAACAGTCATGTTCACCCATATTTTTATGCTTTTCGTTTCGTTTATATATTTGTCACGTAACTTAATCTAATGTCGTTTATTTATGACTTTTCTCTCATTATATTTATTGACTTTTTTTATTCGTCGATGCGATGCAATGTCTGGTTTTCCACACACTTTCACGTTCATGAACGAGTTCAGTCGTGATTATTAAGGTCTTATATTTTTTATTTCATGCACGAGGAGGGGACAAAATTCTTATTTATTTTATTCAATACCTGTGATTTTCTATAAGAGAAAAGATTGCGCTTGGGTTTTTAATTTTTAATTTGTGGAAACAGATTTTGTCACACAAGTAATTTTTAGATTGCTTGTTGAAGGATTAGCATAGGCACGTTGTTTGAAGATTTGGTCTAATGGGGTTTTTGGAGCTGTTTTCTGTTGCGTCTTTTCCGGTGATTAAAGTATTATTGGTTACTGCACTTGGCTTGTTTCTTGCACTGGATAACGTATCAGTATTGGGAGAAGATGCAAGGAAGAAAGTGAATCAGGTTACAAATACAACACTTAAAAGATCATTTTTGTTGTTTTTTTTAGGTCCCTTGTGTTGTTTACTGAAAATGGTGCTCTTTTTGCTGTGACAGCTTGTGTTTTATGTGTTTAATCCATCACTGGTGGGTAGCAATCTGGCCAAAACGATTACTTTTGAGAGTGTTGTTCGGTTGTGAGTATTGATTAAGAGCATCTTGTGACTTGTGTTTCTAGTTTAAGGATGGGTTTGTTTGTGTTTAATTCACATTTTTTGTGTGTAATTTAGGTGGTTCATGCCGGTGAATATTCTTGCCACATTCATATTAGGATCAGCATTGGGATGGATTTTGATTAAAATGACAAGGCCTCCCAAACAAATGGAAGGTCTAATCTTGGGTTGTTGTTCTGCTGGTATGGACTCCTCTGCTCAAAGCCCCAAACAAATGAATGCAGGAAACCACACATGTAATTTGCATGACTTAATAAACACATACTTTGAATTCATATCTTTAGTAGTAAAAGGTATCATAGGGAGAGAAAGACAACATTCTCAACCTTGACCTGGTTGTCTTTCTCTCCTTACTGCAATGTCCCACAACAGGGACGGAGCCAGGATTTCAATACTGGGGGGCCGAGAATTGGAATGATCAAATGAGGCGCTACATTTTTTTAAAAAAAAAAAAATTCCAAAGTGATACCACATAGCAGGCCGTACCAGAAGTCCAAAAGTTGAATAAAAAAATAAATTTGGGTTATTCATTTAATTATACATATGAGTTTATATTAAAAATAGGGGGTGTCATATAGTAATATATATGTATATAAAAAAAAATTAAAATTGTTGGGGGGGCCGTGGCACCCGTAGGTCCCCCCTTGGCTCCGTCCTTGCCCACAAGGGAAATGGATTCATGCATTTATTAATTCGGATCATATGATGAACATCGGACGATTGATATTTTAAGGTGAATTATGAATTGTTCGATTTTCATCAAACAAATATGATTGACCGAGTGCGTGAATGCATGCTTTTCCTGATCATAGGGAATCCAGATCCTAAGTAGAGAGGATTCACATCCAATATTATGTCATGAAGAAGATGAAAATGCTGCTTCCATAGTCTGTCTAAGTGTCTATATATGAATACAGTTACCATGTGGTTGAAGAATCAAACTTGTTACCTGCAGATTTCAATTTATTCTATATTTTTGTTCTCTTTCTCTAGGCTTTCTCTATCTATATATAATTCTGCAGATTCTAAAATATAAGAAAGGAAAAGGGAATTATCCTACGATACGATGGTAGAGTTGTATAGGATTTCCATATGCATGATATTTATGCTATCCAATTGTAACTGATGATAATCATATGCATATGTTGCACACACAAAAGTACTACTTAGACTAAGAAAACATGTTGCACTAGTGGTATCCTGCTTCACTTCATTACTTTTGCAATGTATTATTTTTATTAAAGCATCAAAATTGATGCTTTCTATGGTTGAGCTCATTTTTTTATATTGATATGAACAGGAAATTTAGGGAACTTGCCTATGATCATTATTCCGGCTATATGTAAAGAGAAAGGAAGTCCTTTTGGAGAACCTGATCTTTGCCATCAATATGGAATGGCTTATGCTTCACTTTCTATGGCGGTATGCAACATGTTAATTTTTAAGTTGCACAAGTGCTGATATATTGTGCACTTATAAATAAAAGAATAACTTTAGTTGGTTCTAATTGTGTTTATTCTTTGTGTTGGGTCCATTTGGGGAACTTCAGATTGGAGCAGTTTTTCTATGGTCATATGTTTACAACATAATGAGGATTTCCTCAAGTAGAATCCAGAAAGAAGAAAGTACAAGCATTGACAACAGCATATTGAAGGCTTCAAGGGAGAAATCAGAGTCACACCAAGACAAATTTTCAGAAACACTTCAGCCTGCAAAAGACACCATGGATGATGCATATACCATACTACTTCCTGGTCCAGAATCAGAGGAAAAAGTGAGGCTTGCCAAAACTTCCCTTCTAATTTCAGAATATATTTTTTGAATAACTTTCATTTTCGCATTGTTTAATGAGTTAATCATCTATACACTGTCAGTATAAAGTTTTTTTACACTGACAACCAATCATATCTTTTTATAGTGAAATTTCAGTTTCTTTTTTTATAAAATAATAATAAAATAAACAACTTTAAAAAATATGATTGATTGCCAGTGTAAAAAACTTTACACTGACAGTGTATGGATGATTAAATCTTGTTTAATTACCGATAACATGTTAAGTGGATGTTTAGATACTAATATAAAATCATAGTGTAAATTTTTTCAAATTCACTTGAGGTGCTGATTCCAAACACACGTCAACAAGAAAGGAGAAATTTATATTAACAACACATTCTTTGAAGCATATTATTTCCATATATATATATATATATATTAGATAAACTTATTGTGAGTACTATGAAAGAATCTAGGCCCACTCTCAAGTCAGTGGAGCCCACATAAAATTTATTTGAATAAAAGAGAGTATTAGAAACAATATGTGAATGAATATTAGCACTCTCAAATGGACTTGTTCTTACCGGGAATCCGAGGTAGGGATGATCCGCTGGGTAAGATCGGCGAGCCTCCTTCACTGGTACGCTTGCTGCTCCAAGATGGGGGTGGTACCTGCAAAAAAGACTCCGATGCTAAAGTTGGGTTTGTATGAGTATGAGTCTCGTATAAGTAATGCACGTACCTTGGTATGAATTAGGGTTTCGTTGGGCCTTGGGCCCGAGATCAGTTTATGACCTAATTGGATAGCGAGCCGATGTCGCCTAGCGCGTGTCCGAGGTCACTCCGCGCTGTGATGCTGAGCTCGAGCTCGACATAGAGGTACGGATAGTACACTAGCTCCCCAAGCTCCGAAGACCGTAGGTCGAGGAGTTAAGATCGAGCTCGACAAGGGGTCGTGACTTTTCGCGTACGCCTATTTGTCATGACGCCATGTGTCTTAACCGTCACCTCGTTCCCATAGCGCGTGGGCGGCGTAGTGACAATATTGTATTTTTATTTGTTTGATGACGTGGCCTCTTTGGGCCGATGTGGTGTTCCGATGTCCATATTTCATGATCGGGTTGAGGAGCTCGGCAATAATGAGCTTACTGCTTGGTTAGGCTGGTAAAACTTTGATCGAGTCAGCAGATTGGTGAGGGACAAGTCGGCTGGCCAGTACACTTGCCCCCAAGCACCGAGTGATGTAAGAGCAAAGGGGCTTCTGAGGAGTTCCCAAATTTGTTGTTTGAAGGTTCAAATTCGACCTTGTTAAGTAGATGTGATCTCAAGGTTCGAACTCGACCTTGGCATATCAAGGTTCGAGCTCGACCTTGGTTACGAAAATGTGATCTCAAGGTTCGGACTCGACCTTGGCATATCAAGGTTCGAACTCGACCTTGGTTAAGAAAATGTGATCTCAAGGTTCGAACTCGACCTTGGCATCAAGGTTCGGATTCGACCTTGGTTAAGAAAATATGATCTCAAGGTTCGGACTCGACCTTGGCATATCAAGGTTCGAACTCGACCTTGGTTAAGAAAATGTGATCTCAAGGTTCGAACTCGACCTTGGCATCAAGGTTTGGATTCGACCTTGGCAACGTAATTTGTATTTGAAGGTTTGAACCCGACTTTAACATCAAGGTTCGAACTCGACCTTGGCAAGTCGTCATGGTTAATGTGCCAATACCGAAAATGTATGGGAATGGAGTTGCTTTGATGATTTATTTATGAGGTGTGCTTCGTTAAAACCTTCCTTGGCCAAAAACCCTTTTCTTTAGTGGAAAAAAGGCTGAGGAGGAAAAAGAGTATATCACCTAAATTTACAAGTTAAGAGAAATAAAATTTGAGGTGGGTGGAATTCCAAGTTCCAAATTTTCCTTTGGAGGGGTCTGTTCTTGCTTCTCCCCGTAATCGCCAAACAAGGTCGCCAACTTTAAATGTTCGTGGCCTGACCTTGGTCTTGCTTTCCTTGTGGTTTGTCGCGAATTGCCTTGCGGAACTCGGCATGCTCCTCCATCTGGATGTACCCAGCAGCGCGAGCTCGGAGCTCGTCCATGTCGGGAGGAGGTCGTCGGCAAAGGCT